GAGTGGACCTCGGATGAGATCGGGGACAAAAGATGAGCCGCCAGTCACACAAAGGAACTTTGTGTGAAAACAGCTCTCAGAAGTATTTTTGCTATTAGGAAACATTGTGACTCCCCTCTGAAGTAAACAGTTCCCAGCTCAAAGAACATTAACAGTTGTCTCAGGAAAAAGGTTATTTTCTGAAAAACAGAACAGAGAAATATGTTAAACATTATATTTCAAATGATTTCATTATAATGATTCAAAACAATCAACATTATTCATGTTCGCATTTGTTATAATCAAATTAAACGAACTTCATTAATGATTTGTTTTTTTGTTCTTAAAAGCTTCGGGAAAATAAAGGTAAACATTAATCAGACTGTAGCTGACTTGAGTTAGTGAATGTGTGAAAAACACCAGACATTCAAGTTAAAGGTAACATTAAAAAAAACAATTCATGGTGTGTCTGGAGGACAACCCAAGGGTCAAGGGTCATAGTTGGGGGAGAGCATCTTCATGCTACAATAGTTAACTTTTGGAATTTGAATGAAGAACTTTAAGTGCAATTCAGCCGGAGTGTCAGGCCATATAACTGCAGGTAGAAGGGATTTTTATGAAATAGCATCAGCTTAAAATGTTTAAACCAGACCTGACATGCTCTGTCGTCAACACCCAAGCACAGTAGTGCCTTATGTAGTAGCAGCTGGCATGGTTTGCCTCCCAAGGAGTTCAGGTGTGATGTACCCGTTTCACACCAAAATGGGGTGGCTTGGACCCGAGAGTCAACAGAGGGTCATTTGAAATCAACAGCAAGTCCAAAATATCACTCTGTACAGATGAGGCTGAGGGTGGCAGACTTGAAACAGGCCTGGCACCTTTGGTTGATGAGTGATGGAGGGCAATAAGCAGTCCCTTGCTGACCTCAAAGCCATCAAGTCTTGCAATGAAGTGTTTTTCTGTAATTATTCATTCTAGTTGGCTTTAACAAAAACTGTGTCTATTCAAACTTTTAATTTGGTCCAGGTGTGAAACAAAGATGGACAATAAACAACACATATCAGGATGAGGAGAAGGCAGACCATTGAACGTGTCTCACTTTTTTATGAGTCTTATCTCCAAGAAGATGCTTTGGGATTCTCAGACTGTTTATAGACTCCCTTCTGACGTGAAGGCTCTTCAGCCCAAGACCTTTGCACCATTGTGTCACTTACAGTGGGTTATTTTCTGGAAAACAAAGCAATGAGACAATTTTTTTTTTAAAGAAATTGCAATAGTTCATGTTACCATGTGAAATGTGATCAATTATTTTCTAGCTTTAAAGAAGTTAAGATGAGGTATTCTAGCACAGTGAATGTGCAGGAAGACATTCAGGTCAAAGCTAGTGATATTCGTTCAGGGAAGTTTTGACAGATGACCTCAAGTTCAGAGGTCATCAGGACCAGTGGCGGCTGTTGGATTTCTGTTCGGGGGGGGGGTTAACTCCAAACTAGACAAGCACGCACGCATGCACGCACGCACACACACACACACACATATATATATGGGTGCTAGACTTCTTAACAAATAGACCACAGTCAGTGAGGATCCACAACTTCTCCTCCACCATAACTCTCAGCACTGGCTCCCCTCAGAGCTGTGTGCTGAGCCCTCTTATGTTCACTCTGCTCATGTATGACTGTGAACCTACCCATCCAGGCTGCCATATTGTAAAGTTTGCAGACGATACAGCGGTGGTTGGATGTATCAAAAACAACGAGTCCAGCTACAGGCAAGAGGTGGAACACCTGGAAAGCTGGTGCAAGAACAACCTCCACATCAGTGTGAAGAAGACGAAGGAGATGGTCGTGGGCTTCAGACAAAACAAACACACCTACCCCCCTCCAGAACATAAGAGGATCTGTGATGGAAGTGGTCTCCAGCTACAAGTACTTGGGCGTGCACCTGAATGACAACCTCAACTGGGGCAACACCACCACCAGCCTGATCAAGAACGCTCATCAGAGACTCTACTTGCTCAGATGGCTGAGACGAGCTGGTCTGGGAAGCTCAGTCCTGACCTCCTTCTACAGGTGTGCAGTGGAGAGCATCTTCTGCAGAAACAAAAGCTTTGCAGAGAGTAGTGAAGGCTGCACAGTAATCTGTCGGAGTCAGCCTCCCCACAATCACAGACATCTACACCTCCAAATGCAGGACGAGGGCCACTTGCGTCATGAAGGACCCCACTCACCCAGCACACACACTTTTTGCCTTGTGCCCCTCAGGAAGGAGGTTGAGGAGCATTAAGTGTAGCACCTCTAGACTGAGGAACAGCTTCTACCCTGAGGCTGTTAGACTCATGAATCTCTAACCAGGACATCCATCCATCCATTTTCTTCCGCTTATCCGGGGTCAGGTCGCGGGGGTAGCAGCCTAAGTAGGGAGGCCCAGACTTCCCTCTCCCCAGCCACTTGGGCCAGCTCTTCCGGGGGAATCCCAAGGCGTTCCCAGGCCAGCCGAGAAACATAGTCCCTCCAGTGTGTCCTGGGTCTTCCTCTGGGCCTCCTTCCGGTGGGACGTGTCCGAAACACCTCACCAGGGAGGCATCCAGAAGGCATCCTAAACAGATGCCCGAGCCACCTCAACTGGCTCCTCTCGACATGGAGAAGCAGCGGCTCTACTCCGAGTCCCTCCCGGATGATCGAGCTTCTCACCCTGTCTCTAAGGGAGAGCCCAGACACCCTGCGGAGAAAACTCATTTCGGCCGCTTGTATCCGAGATCTCATTCTTTCGGTCACAACCCAAAGCTCGTGACCATAGATGAGGGTGGGAACGTAGATCGATCGGTAAATTGAGAGCTTTGCCTTTTGACTCAGCTCTCTTTTCACCATGACAGACCTGTACAGCGCCCGCTTCACTGCAGACGCTGCACCTATCCGCCTATCGATCTCACGCTCCATTTTTCCCTCATTCGTGAACAAGACCCCAAGATACTTGAACTCCTCCACTTGGGGTAGGACCTCCTCCCTGACCCGGAGAGGGCACTCTACCCTTTTCCGGCTCAAGACCATGGCCTCGGATTTGGAGGGACTGATCTTCATCTTCACATCATGCTGCTGATCTGTTTCATGTTGATGTGTTCATTCGTCCTTGTCTGCTCACACCGACTCACGTTCGTGCTGCTGTCCAGCGTATTGTTTTTGTACTACTAGTGCTTAGCACATTTTTAGTTGATGTTTTCTTAGTTCATATCTTAGATCTTATTACCGTTTTTCTTTTACATTTTATACTTTTGTTGGATGTAACTGGGACCCTCTGTACACAATTTTGTTCCACCACATGTACCATATGTTGTGCGTATGACAAATAAAGAAACTCTGGCTCTCCAACTGATATACACTCACATATACACACACATTAAGGCTAAAAGTGGTCAAGAGGTAGATTTCCTACCATAATGTGGTCAGGTGGTATAGCTCGTCATCAATTGTAGAACATTGTTAACAGGGGTGACAATAAAACCTGACCTAAAAGGTCAAAAACATAAATTAGGCACAGTCAAATAAATTAAATTAGTTTTAGCTTAAATTGTTTGTAACAATTATAAAAAAAAACAAATATGTATTCAATAAATGCTATATTTCATAAATGTTTGACTTCATAATTCAATTTAGACACATTTTCAAAATGTTTACTCAAAATCAGTTAGCTTTAAGGATAAAGGAATCAAACGTTCATTTGAAATAATAGCTGTGCAACAGTTTCAAAAAATATGTACCGGTATAATTTAACTCAACGCCAGTACTAAAGACAACCACTACTGCGGTTTGTCAAAAAGTATCAAAAATACCTTAAAATAGTTCAAATAAATTCAACCAAAGATGCCCTATAATTACTAAAGTTATGGCCTTTTATTCGGTTTCCTTATTGAGTAACTATTAGCGTACTAAAATACATGGTTGGGAACATATTGACCAGGGTAAAACGCTAGCCAAGTTAGCTCTATGGAGTCTTGCGGTTATTTTCGCTGCAGCGTTAACACAGCTACAAACACGCTCAACTGTATTCTAAAACAAAACGGCAACTCACCGTCGAGAAGATGATTTTATAGTTTCAAATTTTGCCGATTGTAGATCTCGCCAAACTTGTAACAGCAGAGTCGCACACAGCCACACTGAATGAGCAGCAGCTTGACACAGCAAGGGGTGGCCCAGTCCGGTGTTCCGTCAGGTCTGGACAGAACCACCCTGTCCGAATCCGGACCGAGTGACCTCTGGCTTAAAGCGTACCTGCAGCCAGCCTTGTTTCGTCACTGCAGCATGATCCGTTCCCAGACACACCCCTCCCCCCCAAAAAATAAAATGTTCCAGGACCGCAAACACACGATTGGTACCATTCACGTTCGACCGTGCCCCCGGGCGCAGATATTGGCGCCCAGAATCTCTTGCAAAACTTAAATGTCCAATTTTGAACGATAGTTTAAGATTCTTGCACCCCCAGGGGATGGAAACACATTTTTGAAAAATTAGAAAAAATTTAAGTCTTCATTGTAAAATGTTGTGGTTTTAGTGGGTCGGTGGCGCTCGAGCGCCCTCTGACAATTTGCCACTGATCAGGACTTGTGCTTTGAAAGAGTCTTAAATTTCGTATTGAATGGATTAGTGTTCAACGTACCACACGCACTTCAATTCTTTATTTTAGTTCTATATGAAGCCACAAAAATTCAAATCTAAACATGGTGTCAATTAGTATGCACATGAAAATGTGATGTTTAAAGTTCCACTGTTCCATCCAAGTCATAATTTAACATTGAAACAAACAAAAAAAAATATATAAATTCTTGGATGGGGAACGCATGAGTTGTGGAACAAATATTCTGAACACTAGATTTTTTTTTCCACATTTAGTCATTCCATTTTGGGTCAAGGTTTGTTAGCCGTGGTAGCATTCTTGAAGTCAACCAAAATGGCCAACTAGCAACACAAAGACATGTATACAATAATGACTGCATCTTGTGTGTATGCAAAGACCAGACAATTTTCCTTAGTTTAAATTTTTATTTACAACTGTGCTTGACCACAAAGTTTTTTTTCGTCAGAGGTTTGGGTTGGAAATTTTGCCCATGAAAAGTATGGTCTCTGTACTTCGTTCAACAATCATGAACATGAAAGGACTATTGAACTTTAAATCTTGCTTCAAGCAAGAATCAAAGACGACGTTTCCTGTAGCAGCGGCAGCAGAGGCTCCTTCCTCGTCAACATCCAGGGCAGCTCGGTGCACAACCTAAAAAAAAAAAAAAAAAAGTGAGCTCAAATATGGACAGAAAGAAGGAAGGAAATTTAAACAGTACATTTTCTGTCATACCTCCGATACAGTCAGGTTATGTTCTTTAGAAATACCACTCAGATTTGCATGATCAAACACATCTGTCATTCCCATTTCCTTCAGCACATCATTCAGGGTGTAGGAAGTCTTGATGGAAAACTTGGGAATATAAATGCCACAATCCCTAAATATAAAAACACGACAAGTTTAGTAGACATCGAGTGAGCAAATTACAGAATTTAAAAAAAAAAAGTGTATGCACTTACCTAGACTCCGTCACATTCAACCATTCAGTAACGCGAGTGAGACTGATCATGTTCTCCAGAGTAGTCATATTATCAGGCATCAGCAGCAGCATGGAGAAGGAGTTGCTGAAAGGAAGGTTGAGGACAAATGTGCCGATTTCTTCATCAAAAGTAGAAAAGTGTTTGTCTATTTTCATCATCTGGACTGGAACCTGGAATATAAGTGTAAACATTTATAAACATGCAAATTTTTATATGGAAAAAAAAGAAAAAACTTGTATGTATGCATATTGATATTAAGCATACTGCCATTTCAAACCTTTTTATTTTCATCCACGGTGAATTCATCCAACTTGGTCAGGGCAGGATCAAACCCAATCGGCCACTTTCCTGTATGAAAGGGAGCAGAAACACTTTGTGGTAACCCAGTTAAAAAAAAAAAAAAAAAAAAAAAATTTAATAATCACGAGAACTTTACCTTTGTAGTAAATGTAGTTGAGGAGATACAAGACTGTGCTTGAATTCAGGCCGTCGACCAGTTTGTCGATCCTTCCATTGGTTTTATCTGAAACGTACTTATTGATGGTATTGGCAGCATCTGTGGCTTTGGTGAACTCGACACTGAAGTACTCGGCAAAGTAAAACTGCTTTAAGGCACGCAGAAACTCAGGCTGAGACTTGAACAGGTTGTCTACAAACACAGCAGTACCTGCAGTGATGTCTTCACGTGCCTGTTTGCTTTTAACAATTCTACAAAAGGCTTCGTCTACATCACTTTGGGACAGTTGGAAGTCGTTGAACCCCAGAACATTGAAAATCTGTTGGTGGGTCTCTTCTCGTGCCCCAACAGACAAAGCAGCCAAGGCCAAAGATACACAAATAGGAGAGAAGAAGATGTTTTGGCCTTGAGAGTCAGAGGGCTCTGATAATTCCCTGTACAGACGGAAGGCAAACTCATTGTTGGCTGATATCACCATTGTCAATCCATCGTTGAAGCGGTCCACTGTAGTGTCTTGGACATGGCATGGATCATGAGCACCTCTTCCCACACAGACCACTGCTGACAAGATCCAGAGAACCACAGTTGCACAAATCATGATGAGCTGAGAGAAAAATGCAATGTTTGAGTTACATCACTTGTCACAGCAATAATTGTAAAATCCTTGATGCATTCTCTTTGTAAGAACTAAACAGACATGGTGTTTTGTCATATTTGCAGGCTTTATATGTAAATGAGAATGTCAAGCTTTTAAGAGCGCACAAAAAAAAAAAAAAAAAAAAAAAAAAAAAAACACCTTGATCATAGAGTTCCTTGAGTTTTCAAAATTGCTGGGTTACACAGCAGCGATTTTATAATTTAAAATTTGATCTGTCTGGTTTGATTAGATCAGAACTATATATTGTATGCAGTCCTTTGACACACCCAGTTAATGAACAACATGCACATCACAAAACATGAATACAAAATAAAATAACAAAAAAAAAAAAAGACTGTTACAATGAGATGACAGTTTAAATCTATTCAAGTTTTGCATGTGTAGGTAAGGTGCCTGAATTATTTAAACTCTCTTGGCTTATTAAAGTTTAAAAAAAAAAAAAAAAAAAATCCTTCTCTCATATCCATAAAAACACAAACATTTTACAATAAAGCACAACTTCTTACCATAAACCAAACAAAATGTGGAGCTGATGAACAGATGAGCAAACAAGACCCTATTTATAAAAACACTCAGTAACTCAGCCAACCAGACACAGGTGAAAATTATCAAGACAATCAAAGGCAGAACTGGGGCCATGAAACAGGAATCGGATTCCACTCATTGGGATTACAGAGCAAGGGGAATTGTTGTTCTTTGTCCTTTGCTCGCAAGGATCTTTAGCAATACAAGCTACTGGCGGTGAGACATAATCTGAATTGTGAATGAACCTGAATGAGTAGTAGTAACGGGTTATCTGAGGAGGAAGAAATGAACTGGACACCTGAAAATGTAAGAAAAAAAAGTAGAAGGGGAAACAGGGCGGACATTCAAGTGATGGGAAATAGGAGAGCATTAGAATGTGATGATTGACAATCACCAGATGTTAGAAAGAGGGTGAATTTAAAGCAAGTTTAAAGAAGGGAATGATACAGTGGCAGCTGGCCAATAGAAGGCGCTTGGGTGCCGCCCCACCACTCACCACTCATCACATTACCTTGAATAGAACATAAAAAATTAAATAAAAATGAAATAATAAAATTAAAATTTTCTAA